CTAATAGTTTGTTAGGGAGATTGTTCACAGTCTTACTCAAGTGCCGCTAGCCGGACATTTGTGTTTACTAACTGACCTTTTATGTCAGCCATGTCCTTTTGCACTGCTGGCTAAATTCCGTCGAAATTGTGGCCGTGGAAACTTATGAAGAAATTGTCATGGAGTGTCTAAAGTAATAAATGATAAGCGTTGTCTACTCAAGTGAGAACAGTGGTGTTGACTGACTGGGTCCAATCGACGCAGTGGAAAACAAGTGTGGCACATTCTCATCCGTTCTTGGCCTACGAAATGTCTACAATAGTCATACTTACTGTAGTACTGGCGGTGGAGCTGGCCAACCAGTTAGTTCTTTCGGTTGGTTTGGCGAGTCCTCGTCGTCGGAATCTGAGGTTAGTTTACGAACATGTCTGCTTCGGTGAAAGCCGTAATACTTACGCTTCATAGCAACGAATAACTACCCAACGACAACAAATATTTGTACTTCCAACATTGTTCGCAAAATCATAAGTGAAATTATACTAATGCATATGTTACTACACCTTAATAAGCATAACGCATACCCTAAATGGCATAACTCGGAAAATAAAGAAGTATCAGATACAAAATGGACGCCGAATTACTTGTCAATATGTCATAAACAATCACAGGACGAGAGAACCGCAACGCTTACCCCTGACACAGCAAAAGATCAATGGCGTCTAATTGACCCACTTAAACAAAACACCTTAATCAGCTTATTTCGAGACATAACCACTTCTCACAATATGAAGATTCCTGGTACTTCATGAGTAATATAGGATATGTCTTGACTAATTTAGCACTTTGCAATGCAGAAGTGGTTACCTACACGATTGGGAGGTCCTCTAAAATTTCTTCAAATTAGGCGTGGCCATGGCCGCGCTTGGCCACACCTGGCCAAACCTACAGGGTGTGGCAAGTGTTGGCAGGGTGACGTCGCGGATTCTCACTCCAACCCGTCCGCGATCGTCTCCGATGATGGGTTCGAGTGAGAATGCCAGACGTGAAGCGGCCAAACCTCGTCTTCCTGTGATTGTATATGTATGTATATTGAAGGGTTACAGGCAGAGCCCTTGATGACCCTATTTATGTACAGTGCTTTCGCAGATTCATACTCAAAAATAAAATAAAATTGCAGGCATTTAAAATGTGATTGGGTCACAGTTCAATCGTAATCATAATGTAGTGCATAGGGTCACTGTAAATTAGTGCGGAAGATTGTATATGACAGATTTTACAAAACTGGCTGTGCATAGTCATGCTGTGCAAGCCGATTTCTGTCGAAAACTAGACGAGCAAGTTTTCTTTTAAACAGACAAACTGTATCAGCCGTCACCATCTCGCTTGGAAGCGAGTTCCACGGCCTGACAACCCGCTGGCTGAATGAAAAATTTCGTCGGTCTAAACGCGTGCGCTCATTTCCGACTTTGTATGCATGGCCGCGTAGTTGGTTTGTACGGGCGAACTCAAAGAAGTCCTCTGCTCTTAATGAGCAACCCTGGCCGCGAACAATCCAGAACGTCCAGAGTAGACTGCAGTTTATTTGTCTATAAGAGAGAGGGAATAGGCCAAGCAAATTCAGCCTCTCCTGATAAGACAAATGCTTTAGACCGTCGACCATCTTTGTCGCTCTGCGTTGCACCTGTTCGAGTAAGTTGATATCCTTCCTCATCCATGGTGAAGCTGCTGGCATTCCATACTCTAGATGAGGTCTTACAAAGACAACAAAGAGTCTTTCGAAAAGTTCGGGAGGAAATATTTTAAATGCACGTCTGATCCAGTGTAGAGTACTAGTTGCCTTCTGGACCATCTTTCTGCAGTGTTCTGATGGCGATAGATTTGTGGTCGTCCATACACCCAGATCTCTGTGTCTTTCCCCAGTTTCTAACCTCGTCCCGTCAATATAGTACTGGTGTTTGGGAGAGGCATTGCGGCCGGTGTTCAGGTGCAAGACCACGCATTTGGACACGTTAAACTTCAAAAGCCATCTGTTCGACCAAGCACACAGTTTGTTGATGTTCGACTGCAACTTCTCTGCGTCATCATCGCATTTGACTTCACTCCATATTTTTATGTCATCCGCGAACATGAGAGCCTCGCAATTCACTTCGCTGATGCAGTCATTAACATAAATCAGGAAGAGTACTGGGCCTAAGACAGAACCCTGTGGGACACCACTTTCCACCTTTACCCATTCCGAGGTACAATTACTAACGACGACTCTTTGTAGTCTGGAGGACAGAAAACTCCTGATCCACTTAAACATTCTTCCTTGAATTCCTACATCCCAGATCTTCTGTAAAAGAAGCCTGTGTGGGACACTGTCAAAGGCCTTCTTGAAGTCAAAAAATATGACATCTACTGGGAAACCTTTATCGGTAGCCCGTGTCCATTTCTCGTGTGAGTAAAGAACACTCGTTAGGCAGGAACGCCCTGGACGAAAGCCGTGTTGGGCATCGCACAATATTTTGTTCTGTTCCAGGTATTTCATCAAGTGTCTTTTGATAATGCGTTCCATTATTTTACATGCGATGCAAGTAAGACTGACAGGACGATAATTTCCGCAGTCAAGTCTTGAGCCTCCTTTATGGATCGGAGTAATGAGGGCGCACTTCCACTCTTCCGGTAGCTCGCCGTCTTCAAATGACTTTTGAAATATTGCGGATAAGGGTTTGCACAGTTCATTAGCAAGTTCACGAAGTGCTAGGGCGGGAATTCTATCTGGGCCAGGCGAGTTGGCAGGTTTCAGCTGGAGTAGCTCGGCCGTAACTATGGTAGATGAAAAGAGTGGTTCCTCGGTTAAGGAGGGTAGGGAGATGATAGGATGGGGAAGGGTACTGGGAGGAGAGGTTGGTTGGCGAATGGATGGATGGGCAAATATAGAACTAGGTTCTCGGGTGAAGACGGACTGAAAGAAGTCGGAAAGGAGGGACGCTTTAACCTGGTCATCAATCTCCACTTTCCCATCTGCAGACCTAAGGGCAGGGATCAGCTCCTGAGTCCTTTTAGTACATCGTATATAACCATATAGAATTTTCGGATGCTCCAACGAATTTCGGAGGATGTTTAGTTCAAACTTCTTTCGCAGCTTTGAGGCCTCACTTTTACAGACGTTTCGTTGCAGCTTATATTCCTGTAAGTGTTCGTCGGAGCCAGTTAGTCTGTAACGCCTCCACAGACGATTCCTTTTTCTGAAAGAGGCCTTCAAGTCCGGGTTTATCCATTTTGGGCGGTTTGTGATTGTCTTCCTTCTGAGAGGACAATTGGAATAAACAATATCTTTCAGTAAGGAACTGAAAGTATTCCAGTTATCGTTTGCTCGACCATGCAGTTCAGTCTCCCATGATATAGCTGCCGCTTCCCTCCTCATGAGAGAATAGTCCGCTTTCCAAATGTTTCTCTCCCAGTGCACAGTAAATGTGCTAGCGCATTGAATGCTTACAGGCATTTCGAAATTGGCTTTGGATTCCAGGAGATTACATGACGTAGGCTGGCTAACTCGTGAAATGTTAACTGAATTTCTGAAATGCCTTTTTGTTTCGAAAGGACTACCGAAGTAACACTGCAGAATTTATCATCATGCAGCATATGTACATAGAAGGTCAGTTAACCCAGGATGCTGGCTTTCGAACGAACTTCTTTTGGGCCGCATATAAAACTGCACTCTGTAAAAAATGGCTACGGAAATAGCATGAATTTTCCGCATTGATTCAATCATATTTCACGGAAAACGCATAAAATCTGCATTTTTTGCCCATTTGGTACAAAATGACGTCGTATTCCAATGTTGCTCTCACATTCGGTAAGAAAAAATGTCCTAACTAAGACATTTTGTACTAACCGTGGAATGCACATTCATAAAGCACCGCGTCTCTGCAGTTGCTGATGTTGCTTGTAAAGTTTATAATATGGTTCAAATCCACTGCGGAATTCTATGAACCGCCTATGGTCTCTTCTTAATACCAGAAGGAAATGTACGGTTTTCCGTAAGCGGAAAATATATGGCCCGAGTTTCTAAACCCTAAATGCAAGTTTAACTGCAGGTCGGGTTCGAAATTATACGCGAATTGGAAGTCTTCGAAAACTGAATTAAACCCTTCATTTGAGCATAAAGTGTGGAAGCTGATGTAATTTTCTATCCACGGAATAGAAGAATGAATAAGTTTATGTGCATTTTTTCATGAAATATAATTGAATGTTGAAGGGCATCGAACATGAATGAGAAAAATTCATGGTACCTCAGTAGCCATTTCTACAGAGTGTGGGTTTCGCACGCGGCCAAAAAGAAGTTCTTTCAGAAGCCGACATCCCGAGGTAATTGAATAACTATAGAATTACACTGCAAGTTCATTAATTTTGCGACCCTGCCTAAGTAATCTTTTCGAAACGAACACGCATTTCAGAATTTCGGTCGACATTTCTTGAGTTAGTCCACATACTGTAGGTAAGGCTGTAATATTAGTTCAAGCATAGAACAATCCCATGATATATCGGTTACCTCGGGAGAACCGGTATTTGAACGACCTTCTTCCCGGTCGCCCGAATAAACTGCACTCCGTGTAAACATGACCACTTAAGTAGTATAATTCTTTTGTAATTAATTTTGAAACCCTTATAATATTCACTATAATTCATACAGGACATGCATAAGAATATTCATTCTTTTACTCATTGGGCAGAAAATCACATCTTCTTCGAATTTCATACCCGGAAGAGGGGTGTAAATCGGCTCTAAAAAACTTCCTTTTCCCCAACAATTTTGATCGCGAGTTGCTGATGCACTTGCCCACAGGCCGCCAAAACTGCGCGTCGTAGATCTGCCGTGTACGGCATAACTTATATTTTAACCAATATATTAAGGGGATACCAATGGGGATTTATAAAATTTAGCAGTGGATTTGAGCTATATCTCAAGCCATATTATGAAACGCAGAGCTGGAATATTGTATGAACTGGCATGTCATCATGGCCCTTCGGGCCAAATTTAATGACAAGGATTTGAACTGACAAGTGTCCTGTCTTGTTCAAAATTGTATGTGTATTGCTATTTAAAGGAATTCCATGATTTTATTTTAAACTCTGATAGGTTTCTGCTTTTCCGAATGGAACTTGTGAGGGCATTCAATATAGTTTCATAGTTCGATATGCGTAAAGATATTTATAGAATATAAGTTTGATCTCTGGAACTTTTAGAATTTAGAAATTCCTATGCTATCTTCGCAATTTCTAGCGTTTTTGTGGAGACGCCATAGTTTGTTAGTATATTCATCTTGAGAATATCTTAGCCATATGTTACAGATTCTTTCGTAGAACCTCAGCGTCCCACACAAGACAAACAACCACACCTGTAAGCACTCTTCAGCGCGGATTAGAGGAAAATTGCACAAAGAACCCGAGAACTTTAAGCCCTGAGATTTCGAAACTTTCGTGAACCAGAAAAGGCAACTCGCAGCAACCTAGGGGGCTTTGTTGCATAGGTGTTAGTTTCCGATAATACAGTTCTCAAATCTGCAAAGAAACAGGTTCGCAGGATCGTTTTTTCTACTGTGCTAGCGCCTAAACACAAGTGCTAACAGAGGACAGGACTCAGTCGCATTTGCCGATCAGTCTATGCGTTAATCTTTGTAAGATGCAGAGTAAATCAAACAACACTCAAGCTGTTGTAAAATTAACAATCACAATGTTTTCGGCCAGCTTGAAAAAGGATAGACGGAACAGAACTTCCTGTTTGTTTTAGTGAATGCGACATCCGGCGACCGGTTTCACTTTTTCCGGATCATCCAGTCATGTCGCGCGTGTATGTTGGTCGCCTGCCTCCGCGTTGTTCGGAGCGCGACGTTGAGCGTTTTTTCAAGGGATACGGTCGTCTGCGTGACATTGTTTTGAAAAATGGTTACGGCTTCGTTGAATTCGAGGATTACAAGGACGCGGACGATGCGGTCAACGACCTTCATGGGCGCGAACTGAAAGGAGAAAGACTTCTTGTGGAACATGCGAGACTCCCGCCCGGCGCCAGAGGCAGCAGCAGACGCTCCGGCCGTGACTCGTAAGATTAACTTATGTAGATACCGGGATTCTATTTAGGTATAGCGGCCGACGCTACGGCCCACCTACTCGCACGGAGTACCGCGTCATTGTCGAAAATCTATCCTCCAGAGTCAGCTGGCAAGTGAGTACTCATCGGTTTCCTGTTGGTGTACTGCCGTCGGTTGTTCCCGTCATCTAATCTGCCATGACTGTCTTGAATTCAGTTGGCCCCCCGGTCCGTGGCTGCGGTCGCATAGGACGCTAAGGCGGTTCACTGATGGCCGAGTCAGGTCGTGTGGTCGTGAGAAATTTGGTCGTTTTCAGATGCTATGGTCGTTTGCGTGGCACGGCTCGTTCTCGTTAGGTAATTGAACTCCTTGCAGACCGCTTAGCCACTTGGTAGGGGCACAGGAAGCTGTGCTTATTAGGATTCCATGCCTTTGTTTTTCGCCCCGATAAATACCAGGTTTTTATTTTGACTCCTGTTGGTGTAGTCAACCGAGTAGGGGGTCACGCGGATACTGTAGTCCAGTCCTAAACGGTCCCGGAGCTAGAGACAATTTATCTCATTTTTCTTTCAGGACCTGAAGGATATGATGCGAAAGGCCGGGGAAGTGACGTACGCTGATGCCCACAAGTCGGCTCGCAACGAGGGGTAAGTCCTGCTTGCTTGTACTATGTTTTTTTAGGATCGTGGAGTTCGCCACTTTTGCTGACATGAAGGCGGCCATTGACAAGTTCGACGGTTACACACTTTACGAACGTCGTCTTCGGGTGTACGAAGACAAGCCGCGCAGGCGCTCCCGTTCAGATTCCCGGGATCGAAGCCGCAGTTATTCACGTCGCGAGTCGCGAAGATCGCGGAGCCGAGGATCAAGGCGACGTGACCGGTCCCGCAGCCGCAGCAGGAGCCACCGAAAGGAAGAGTCGTCCTCCGACCGTTCGAATTCGCGCGATAGGTCACGCCGAGACCGGTCTGAGAAATCCGAGGGTTCCAGGAGGTCCCGTTCGAAGTCAAACTCTAGGCGGTCTGAAAAGTCGCCTTCCAGACACAGCCGTCGTTCAGCTGGACCAGCTAGCCGTTCCCCAAGTCGGAACGGTGATGGATCTGTGAAGGATGGCGATGCCAGATCGGTCTCTGGATCTCGGTCGCGGTCGCACTCTCCAGCACGTTCACGATCCCGTTCTCACTCTGATGTTCGTGCCAGGGAGCGCTCTCGCTCTGATGCAAAGTCACAATCTCGGTCGAGGTCCAGGACAAGATCAAGATCGCAATCTCAGAGGTCAGCATCCCCCGAGCCCCGTCATTCTGATGCAGAAATGAATGATCAGCATAGCGGAAGTGAAAATGCGGAAGAAAATTGAACCTTTTCATGTCTGAACTCACTTGCTGCACATTCTTAGTCTTATGTAAAGACTGTTTTTAAGCGTTTCTGTCGGCGCTGCCTTAAACTTGAGTAACCTTTTAGAGTTGTCCATATTGCCGTCGACACATTCTAGGGTGACCAATTTTTACACTAGCCAATTGCCACTTGCTACTGTCTGTCCCATCCAACAACATCCAGGGCACCACAGGTAGATACTTGTGTTAATGCGAAGTTGAGCACCGTGGCAGCAGACCAAAACGGTTAAGTCAGTCCAGGCGAGCTGGGCGGTGTTCGAAGTGTGACACGAGGTAGTCAATGGCTGTTGGGCGTGAACCACGCGGGTTCTTCGTGTCGGGTGCCTGGGGGCTAGTGAGGCCACCAATGCCGTTCAGAATGCGATGTACCGTAACCTAGACAGAGGGCGTCTTATCGGCTCGGTCTTCCCCGTGCTAGCCTACGATTCAAAATTACGTATTGGTGTGACGGTAGTAGTCTTATCTTCAAAGTCACGAGCCTTCGTGTATTTGATTTTCTCATTGCCTTTAGCTATCTGGCAGCATCCACGGCCACATGGCGGCGGGCCTAAGACGGCACGTCCGGCCAATCGTTGTTAAGAGTCCGTCCATCATTGTACACCTGGCTTTCAGGGGCGTTTGCGGCGTCATAGAGTTTGTGCTAAGCGTGGGGATGTCTGCGATTTGACGCTCTACTGCCTTTCCTGCCGACCATTGCGTAGTTTCGTCCAAATTAATCTGCTCGCCTTCCACTTCGTATTGGTCGCAGACCAAGTTAAGAATGAGCCTGCGCTAGAAGTGCTTCGGAAGTAGTGGTGACTCTTTGACTAACAGAGACTTCGTAGATTCTGAGGCGGAAATTTTACCAGGGACTGATCTCAACAACTTACCCAAGCATCTTGCCACGTCCAATTGCGAACGCGCCGGACCCGTTCTGGAAGTAAGGTGCGAGTATCTTTGTGTGCCAAGTGGGGCGGTTCCTGACTGTTTCGTGGCAGTGCCCCCGGCTGACGCACCGATTGTGACTGCCTGCGCACTGGCCTGCGATGTGTTGGTGTGCTATGCTCCTGTCCGTTCGCGGCGGAAGCCGCTTTTGTCCGTACAGCAGTCTGCCATGTCTCTAGCCTGAGCGAAGTTATAGGTACATATACAGGTGTTTGAGTAAGGTCTCGAAGGTCCATGTACCGGCTTTCTTCTGCCACATCTGTCACTCGTAAACGCGTCGTTGTGAAATGTCTGTGCGGGCTCTCGTTTTCACGACGTAGCCACCGTCGCAGTTGCATGTGCTTAATTATGGTATGGACGCTGAGGGAGCTGGTTCTTCCCAGGATCTCATTGTCTGGGGTCCTTTCCTGTCACTTCACTTTCAATATTCTTCGGAGACAGCCACGGTGAGAATGGCTGGGTCTTCTTGCTCAGTCTCCATACGCACCCCACTTAGCCGCTCCGCATAAGAGCGTTGTCTGGGCAACAGCTCTGCACCCAGTTTTACGATGCTAGGGCGCTTCCAAACGGAGTGCATCGGCTGGACGCATGTTTGGCCAGCTTTAGAGATTTGACTCGTCAGCAAGTCTCTCCTTCGCTGCAAGGTTAGTTTCACTGATACCGGTACGGGTGCTTGATGTAGTCAGTACGTGATCCATATTGGTGTAAGGTCACAGTCCTCTTCGCGCTAATGGTCCGGCCGAAGTTGGCGCTGCCACAGGTTGGCTTCACGGTGCTGCATGTCTTCTTCTGTTGTGGTGTTTGACGTGGAGTTATCCGCGAAAAGTAGGTCGTTGTGCCGTCTTTGCACACCCTCGAAGATGCTCTTCGATGGCTGACACGAGGCGGTTTCGTCGGCTGGGCCGCCTCTTATGTCCATCAGCATTTTGGACATGAGACTGAGTAGGGCGGTAGCGAGTAGTCAGCCCTGCTTCTTCCCGTCATTAACTGAATGATTTAGAAGTCGCCCGTGTTACGCGACGTGAGTGATAGCCTGGTCGTGAAGTTTACCTACCGTTTGAGAAGATCGCCCAGCACCGAGCTTCAGCTCCAGAGTTCGTGTTGACCAACAAAGATGGTGACCTTCGTTAAATCGGAGGTGATGTAGTGGTTCTTGCACTTTTCCTGCAGTTGGCAGATCGTGTTCGTGGTCTCCGGGCGTCATTGTGTCTGCCCCCGGTGCTTTCCCTCAGGACAACTACTGCCCCGCCTGGATTGTCTTAAAGGGAGGCGGTCTATCAATTTGTCGCTGGTACCGGCTCGCGGAATATGGTTGATGGCCTCCGTGCATGTTATCCACGCGTGGCTGAGGTCCTGGAAGCCAGTAGTCCGTCGCTCCAGTATCTGACTTCTCTGTCAGAAATGCTGTTCTACCCTTCCTCAGAGAAAGCTTATTCGCCTTGACGAATTCTTTATATCACCGCGATCGGTGTATCAATGGGCCCTCTCAGCTCTGCCAGTTAGCCGGTCCTGAATCTCCCTTAACCGTCAGCACCGGAGGCGTGCGGATTTGTTGGCGTTGCTGCTGTTGATGATGGAGGTCGTGTGTAGGCTGTTTCTCAGGGGGGATTTTGGTCCTCCTTCGTAGTCGCTGTCAAATCATTCCTGACGATGGCCTGCATAGCCGTCGGCTTCCATCACAGTGGCTTGGGTAGAGTCCCACAGCTTTCTCCGCCGGGTTTCTACATTAATGCGCGTTCACGGGCTGTGCATTTCTCCCAGTTTGGAGTTTATACAGATACCAAGATCCAATGGGCGATCAGGCACAGTTGCAGTTGGAGCTGTAGCAGCCCGCCTTGCAGCTGCTTTCTGGCCTTGCCCTTCTGTCAGCCTCACACTCGATGCACCACCGAAGCTGCGAATGACTTGTCACTGAAGTGGCGAAAGCTCTTAGCTAGTGGGCGCTGTCTCGCTGATTGGCTGCAGGCGGAAGGAACTTGCGCAGGCCTCTTGCGTGCAGACTAATCACTCACCCGGTGAGGTTACTCGTTGAGCTGCGTGCGCAGTTCGTCGCCGCATTAAAGCTTGCCCACGTAACTGTCATACTTCCTGATTTGGGGACTCAAGTCGTCTGCTATTGTACCTCGACAAAGCCTCGTCTTGTAGATCACAAGGTGGTGATTCGTCCAGCAATCACATCGACCTGGCCATAGGCATGTTGGTCAGGAGCTAGTTCCCCGCGGGTTTTCAGGGGAAGGCCATAACTATTGCGGCTGCCGACCTCATGGCGGCCGAACACCACATCCCACGTGGCGCGGTCCATGCCGACGCGGGCGCTGACGTCACCAAGGACAGTCAATTTTCCCGTCGTCATAATTTCTAGGACATGCGGGCCTCCATAGAACTTGCTCATCGCGCCATCGGAGTTGATTGCCGGCGCACAGGTTCAGACGATGACGAACTTATTCTATGGGGGTGGCAGTATTTTGGTCATGAGACGGGGGAGGAAGATCCTCTTACGTCCCTTATGAGAAAGGCGACTCAGGCTTCACGTTGTCTTGTCTTTGAAACGCCTCCATGTAATTCATGCCACCATAGTCGCGTACGCACTACCAGACCCAGTTGCCGTCGCTAAGGCCACATATTTGTGTATGGTAATTGCCGACAGTATGTGTGTGTGGCAGGGTACATTAATCAGTATAAGTTTATGCTACGTTCATCCAAACGCATCGACTGACCTAGTGCGAGCGTATGAGTACAACGTAGGTCGCTGCACATGGCATCCCGTACACCCGAGAAAACACCTAGTAATGAATATAGGAGTTAAACATGTAGATATGCATATTATTAAAACGCGCTTTCAAATCCTCTTATTGTCCGAGTGAAAAGCTATACCAGGAGGTGGGTTAAAATGGATAATTAATTTCTAAGTAATTTTTAGCCAGTGCGGGTAAGAGGGCAGCAAAAAAAGATTTCTTCAGGCTATGCGGAATGGTGAACCGCTGCCGGGAACCGTTTAATGTGAGATTAAGTTGAGCCGCCGAGCATCTCTAGGTGTGCGAGTTCCGAGCTCGCGGTGGCTGTGCGGCCCGGTTGCTATCCCCTGTCAACGCGAGAGTGAGCCCACTATTGTCCAAACGATTGCGGCCTAAAGGCCGTTCAGTCCAAAATATGCTCCAGAGTCAAGGAACCTGGAGCTTTCGGTCGTTTGGTGTACCGTTCGCACCAGTGTCAATCTTTGCGACTAGGATCGCTCAGCCCACGCCACCTGCACGCCTCGACAATGAGTATTCCCTCATGCCAGCCACCCAGAGCAGCATCGACAAAATCACACCACTGACTTGTGCATGCAACGGCTAGCCTACAGTCATTCAGTAGTCTTATGTGCCTCTCTTCGTCAGTGGGCGCCAAACCAAACAATCGAAAATGCTATAGACAATGAGGCTGTCTTAACATTCGTCTGACCTCCGAATTGTCTTGGGAATTTTATTTGTCCAGAACGGGTTGTCGATTTATTCACACGATTCAGAAGGGGGGTTGGCATCTGGCATGTATTCGGCCAGTCGACGGTTCGAATTCCTCCCACAGCCATCGTTTTCTAGCTGTGTGAGTTTACTATCCCCCGAAACTCGTCTAAAGATGTGGGTCAGATGTGATTATTGTAGCACCCACCTGAAGTAAACAAACCCCAGCCACTTGTAATATGGGACCGGTGATAATAGGGGTTTTTACAGGTGAGGTCGGGGAACGCACAGGCGACGAGGTCAAGTGGCTGTATGCAAAATAGACGCTTTTGGGAATGCGCGGTTGTACTCTGAATGGTTGAGAAATAGTTGTCCTAACCATAACCCCAGTCCCAACAGTACTGAGTCCATCAGGTGGGGCTACATAACCACCTCTTAACAAGACATGTTTCAGCTTAGTTTTCCTGCAGTAAATTCCTTTTTCAATCCTCGCCTTTTAGTTACCTGCGAACTCCTGTCCAGATGCGATGGGCCGACAGCAAGAAGGTTCCCAAATCACAAGTGAAGGAAAACTAAGTTGCTGGATATGCTTTTACCGAGACAAAAGGGCGTGCAGGCAGCTCAAAAACGGTTGCAGCCAGCCACATCCTCAGGTCTGTGTGTCGGCGCCGGCTGCTGGTATTCTTTAGTCCCCAGTGCATGTGTGCGTATTTGCCCTGGAGTGGGCCAGTCTGCAGGCAACAAGGGACTGACGTCTATTGCCTGGTGCCGAGTGTCGGGCGGCTGTAGCAGCGAGTTGACCAGGGACGTAGACTGACAGGAAGGCGTGGGTGGACGGTCACTCTGGAGGCCACCGAAGCGGACTGCCACAGTAGCTTCCGACTAGGTCGAGGGCGGCGTGTAGCGATGCCGAGGTAAATATTAATGTAGAAAGTATGAGCAATCAAACGGTCGGGAAATCGAACATGACGTCCATCGCGCTTCGCATATACAGGGGAGGGGGGGGGAGAAGAATGGGTGCTGCGACTGGAGAGTTGCAGTTTATTGAGGAAGTACTTGCAGTTAGTGGCAGCGGACAAGTAGACAGGGCGGAGGGTAGTGAAGACACCCGAGCAGGGTGTAGAGGATCACAGGACTTCGGGTGGTCCACACCCACGACCTCGCGAGTCTATCGTTCGATGCGGAACGTCTTTGTCCATCGAAAGACAACACGAAAGTGGCCATCGCAGGGTGGTTCCAGTGACGGGCAGAGCCAGACACCGGATACAGACTTGAGAGCCTGTCGCCAATTCCTTGAAATAGGTCAGAGACTGATGGCCGGGGAGGTGGTCCTCATGGGCTGTCGAAGACGTTTCAGGGGGTTGACCGGGTTCTCGGGGGTACAGCGAGGGAGTAATGGCATCATCTGTCCAGGAAGTTGGACGGTGGCGTCGAACACTAGTCCGGCTGCGGAACAGGCAAGGTCCGACTTTAGAGCGGAGCGAATGCCCAATAGGAACAGGGGGAGGTGGTCCGTCCGCATAATCTGCGGCCCGGTGAAACTGTGTGGCCATCCCATTGGCAGCCGGTTGATGGGTTGTGCGAATGCGAATACGGTCTATAAAACAGAGCTGAGACAGGAGCGGGCTGTATTCGAATCAGGCCCTACGGCCAGTCATAACGGCCAAGGAAGCGCCGAGGCCAGGAGCCTACGATGTCCATGTGTACGTGAATTAATCTTGAATCGGGGCTGGAGAAGGCGCCGATGAGAGCCTTGTGCCGTTAGACCTTTCTTTGCTGACTGCCGAGACGTCCGAGTCCAAGTTTTCAGGTCTTTCTGCACCGCAGGCCAGACGAAGCTGTGGGAAATCGGCTTGTCGGTAGGTCGGTCCAGGGGTGAGCTAGGATGTTCAGGGAGGAGACCTTGCGGCGGTAAAAACGGACGGGGGGAGGCAGTGGAGACGTCACAAAGAATGGTGCTGTCGCCAAAAGTCAGTGGGAGGTCTGGAGACTGGAGTTCGGAAGCATCCTTGTCACAGAGGGAACCAATAAGGCGTTTTTCGGCAGCCATCTAGATGAAGTAGGTCTGGGAATGAGTTGAAGATCAACAGTCGATGACCTGGGCAATGCTCCTGCCACCTCACTCCGTGAGCCGTCAATATGGCAAATATCTGGGTTAAATGAGGAAATGTAGTCTACTTGGCGGATTTTACATGGGTGGAACTCGTCAGACTGCTATTTGAGAGCGTCGGTTAATGGCTTGTCATCCGTGAAGATTAGTGAAGTCGCTGTCCTCATACAGGTACCGGAAGTGTTTCACGAGATATAGACGACAAGGATCTTCGTCCAAATGGGCTGTAGAGCAATTTGGCCGATGTCAACTTTTTGCAGAGCAAAGCGAGGGGTTAGGTCCGACCTGCATCGTGCTCCCGATGAACCGCGCCGACTGCAATGCTAAGGACGTCAACCATGAGGGAGATTGGTGCGTCAGGAGCAGAATGATTCAAGAGGGTGGCTTCGACGAGGGCAGCCATTACATTGCCAAAAGAAGAAAGGGCGTCTACGGAGAGATCAAACGAACTTTTGACAGTCTCGAGGAGGTTCGTGAGCCGCAGGATGATGTCCGTACAGTTCGGTGGGGACCGGCGGTAGAAGTTCACCATACCTGAAAGGCACTGCAGTTGACGTTTGGAAGTTGGGGGTGGAGATTCATGGATGGCTACGACCTTCGAAGGAGGATGGTGGATGTTGTTAGAGTCGACCAGGTGTCCGAGACAAAACGTCGAAGGCGCACTTGGATGGGTTAAGAGCAATGCAAAACTGAGGATGGTCAAACACCTCTGCAGGGCATCCTGTGTGTTTTCAGCGGCAGAGTTGGCCTTCCGCAGGTCGTTTATATGGGCGTAGACAAAGGATAGGCCATGAAGCACCCTGTCAACGAACCTCTGGAAAGTTTAATAAGCGTTTTGGATGCCAAATGGCATATACAGGAAATCAAAGAAGCCAAATGCGTTGGTGGCAGCCGTCTCCTCTCTCTCCTCCAGAGAGAGAGAGAGAGGAGATTTGCTAAGAGACCCGAACTAAGTCAGTCCTCAAAAAGACGGACTTGTCGAGTAAGACGCCGGCAGTGCCCTGAATATGCAGAACGAGAAAGCGGTTCGGGAGTGTGACTTTGTTCAAGGTCATGTAGTTCCCATGGCGGCGCCAGTCACTAGTGGCGGTCTTGGGAACCATGTCCAGGAGCGAGGCCAGGGGATTTTCAGATTGGCGGGTAATGACTGTCTGGAGCAGGTGCTCGAACTCGGTTATGGCGGTAGGCAGTCGTGCAAGCGTGAGACGGTAGGCTGAGAAAAGTCAGGAGGGTCAGTGGTACGGATTTGATGAGCGACGTCATGCGCTGAGGTGAAGGCCCTGAAGTTTGAACGGGTGGAGCCGGAGTATTTGGCGAGAAACTGCCGAAATTCACTATCTGGGTCAGGGTCCTGGACGGCGAGTTATTGGAACAACTCAATGGAAGCGATACCCCGACGGCGAGCTTGCTAGTCTAATCATGCAGGCAGGACATACGGCAACCGACCAGGAGATCGAAAGCGCAAGGAAGTCGCCGCCGAAAATGGCACGTGGCGGTCGTGTTGAACGAGATGTAGGTTTAGGCTGAACACTCCGGACCGATGACATCGGCGGCCTTCAGGATGAAGGAGCGACTTCTTTGAAAGAGAAACTATATCATGGCGAACTTTGGGAATCTCAGACACTAGATACGCGAGGGAAGATGCAGAAGAAATAGAGGAAGTTTAGAGAGCGGTGAGTGACGGCTTGGTTAAACCGCGCATCTCCACAAGCTGTTCGACCATCTTGTGTTAGTTGGACGACCAAAAAATGTCAGAAGCAAGTGCCAAAATATACTGCACTTCCGGTGGAAAGTCGTCGACTGTCAACGCCTGACTATTGTGTCGATTTGGAAGAAGGACTCGGGTGTTCTGACGGCGTCGCCACTCATTGAGATGCAATAGATCGTCAACACGACGGGTCCCCAAACCACAAGTCAGGTGAGCCTGAGCTGTTAGACAGGCTTTCACCGAGGTAAACGCGTACAGGCAGGTCAACCAGCGGTTGCAGCCAGCCGTTTGTCCAGGCGTGTGTGCGAGTGTCTACTGCTGAGATTCTTAGCCCCCCCGGCGTGTGTCCGTACATCTGTTCCGTCGGGGCTGTGTCCGCCTGCGGACAATCAGTGAAGGAGTGGCACTGACTGGCTAGTGACGAGTCTCACGTTGCTCCAGAGGCTCATAATCTATTAATTCGTATTTTGACCACGGGAATGGGGATGTTTTTGCTGGAAATTTTGGAATGATGCTTTCAAAGTAAAGCTTGCTTCTCTCGCTCTCGGACG